TCTGGTGTTCCCATCACCACCCTCCAACAGCATTCCCATGCCTGGGTTCCTGGTGAAGTTGTTTCTTCCTGTTGCTTACATCTACCCCTACCCAGTTATCTTCAGTGAGTCCATGACTGTCCTGGGAGGCAAACTGAGCTCTCTTTGGGTGAGGCCTTGGGTATGATCTGGTCCAGCCCACCTGCTCTATCGTCGCTCTGTCTTCCCCTGTCTGAAGTGCTCTCTAAATCCTTCCTTTCCTCAACTTCTCCATCCTGTGTGGAGGTTGCCCAGTTATGGGGATCCACATGCCCTGCTTCTGAAAAACCAAGGTGCTTCTTTGGGTCCTGCCCATTGCCAATAGAAGAGTGAGAAGCTTTGGTGTCGTGAGCTAGTTACAGGCTTTGATAGAGTTTCTGCTTTTCCTATGTGTATGTTTGTGCATGTCTGAGTTCAGTTTTAAGTTCCCAGGGGAAGAAGTCACCATCTTCTGATGGCAGCTGGAGTGTACCTAAGTACCACTGAGACTCGCTGCTCAGACCAGTGGTTAGCTGGAGCATCTATGCCAAGTGTGATAGCATGCACTTAGTGTGTCCACCTTAAAGTTTACACAGGGCTCGAGAGGGCCTCTCAGTTTCATAAGAATTCCAAGTATCAGTATTTAAAGTTGAAGTGTTTCACATAAAACCTAGAGAGATCTGACTGCTCTCAAAGGGAAATATGGTAGCTGGTACACCCAGGTAGGAGAAAGTTTGAAGAGCAGACTTAATAGAGAGGGGAGGGAGCTAGATTGGACTAGGAATGAAGAGTGGAATTCAGGGTGTTAGGTGCAGGACAGGCTGGTCTGAAGGGCCTACAGGACATGCCAAACAAAGTTAGCTGCAGGATGACCTGACCACTCAAACCCTCTGTCTGGTTCTATATCACCTGTTTGCTTTAAGCCCAAATGCCCAAGCCCCTGCTCAAGGCTTAACAATCAACCACCTGCTCAAGGTTGAACACTTAACCCCCCTTGGGCCAACAAGGCAGCTTGTAGACCCAGAGACCCCATTAGATTTGGGCTATAAAAACTCCCTGTGCCTGTTCCTTCCCCCTATCATAAAGTTCATTCAGATGCAGGTGGGTAAAATTTCTAGTCAAGCTTTTAACCAGCTTCTCCTCAGGAATTACCAACTCCTGGCTACTGATGATACCTCTAATTGAGACCTATGCCGAATGGACTGATGTTATCATGGATCTGTGGTGGCAAGGAACCTTCGTTGATACCGGTCTTCTCTGCCCTCCTGTGGGGGCTCCTTATTTACCTCCTCTTTCTCCCACACTGCCCCATTTCAGCAGGAAGCAGACAGAATGAGTCAATGCCCATTCTCATTTAATAACAAAGAGGGGGGAATGTTTGGAGTCACCCCGGCTCCAAAGACTAACTTCCCCATCCCCCAAGAAGAACCATCCAATGGTGAGCCCTGCTCACATGATCCTTACCCACCAATCAGAGCCCTGCTGGCTCACATGATCCTTACCCACAAATCAGAGCCCTGAAGGCTCACCTGATCCTACCCACCAATCACACTAGCCCTGCTGGCTCACCCGATCCTTACCCCATGCCAACTGTCAAACCACCCTGGGCTCTATAAATATGCAGAGCTGTTCCTCAATAAACGGGCATTTGCTCTGGTGACAAGTCTTGTTCGTTCTTTCACCTATTACCATCTTCTGTTTTCTATGCTATTATTGCCAAGTGTATATTTTTCCACTGTCATTGATTATTATTATGAACTTTCTTTATTTTTGTGCAGTTGCTCCTTACTTACATTTACCTACTGCCCTACACTGAACCGTGCCACATTCCAAATTACGATATCAAAGTCCTAGCCCCCAACATTGTGGTATTTGGAAATGGAGGCTTGGGAGGAAACAAGGTATAGGTGAGGTCAGGGGAATGAGGCCCCCATGACAGCCTTAGTACCATTATATGAAAAGGAAACTTCTCTTTCCCATGCATCAAAGAAAGCTATGAGAGGACGTAGTTAGAAGGCAGCCATCTGCAAGCCAATGAGAGAGCCCTCACCAGAATCCAACCATGCTGGCAATCTGATCTAAGGCTTCCAGTCTCCATCACTGTGAGAAAATACATTTCTGTTGTTTAAGCCATGCAGTCTATGGTATTTTTGTTATAGCAACCCAAGGTGACAAATATACCTACGCTTTAACCACATGTTTTTTCCTTCACTATCGCTTCTTTCCCACCACTCTTTAATTCAAGATTTAATTTATTTTACCTGAAGAATTTCTTTTAGTAGTTATCTCATAGAAGGTCAGTAATGAATAAACTCTGTCCATCTTTGTTTCACTGAAAATGTTTGACTTTGTCACCATCCTTGTATGATATAGAATACTATAGTTGGGGACCGAATTCTAGGATGACTGTTTTATCTCAGCCGTTTGGAAATATTCCATTGCCTTCCAACCTCTGAGGCTGCTTACTGAAAAGGCTGCAGAATGTCCAATTTCTATGGTTTTGTAGGTTGTTTTTCTTTTCTTGTTACTTTTAAGATTTTCTCTGTGTATTTGATGTAGCTGCTTCATTATGATGTGTTCACTGTGGATTTGCTTTTATTTATTCCACTTGGGACTTCATGTGCTTTTTTCCGGAGTATTCCCATCTTTCATCTGTTCTACACTATCAGATGTTCTATCTTTTAATACTATTTACTCTATTATGGCCTTTTAGAACACCAATTAAATGCAAGTAGACATCTTGTTCTATTCTACATTTCTTATTCTTTATTTAATATTCCTATTTTTTCTCTCTTTCTGTGCTGAATTCTGGATTATTTCCTTATATGATCTTTCAGTTCATTAATCTTCCTGTGTACAAATGCTGTTTGATCATTAAATGCATTTTTAAATTGCAATGACAACATCTTTTTATTACTAACATTCTATTGATTTTATTTTCAAATTTCCCTGTTCTTATTTCACTTTATTATTGTGTGTAGTAGTATGGTTTCTAATGAGTCTCAATCCTCTTAAATAAATTTAAATATGTTGACTTGATAGCCTTTCAGTTTGTTCAATTATCTCTTGTTTCTGAGAGTCTCTCTAACAATACATTATTTTCTTGTGTGAAATGCCGACATTTTCACCTCTGAGCTCATCTTCAGGGGATTGTTTTTTCCTGTGGGAGTCTTCTAGAGCTGGGAATGTGGATGATTCCGTAGAGTGACTTCACATTTTTTTCTGCTGAGAGCCACAGTTATTTTGTTGACAGGACCTGTCTCCACTCCTGAGTTTGGGAAACTTGCCACCACTCTCACGTGTTGAGAGCTGTAGTTTTAAATCCTCAGGCAACTCTGTGTCCCAACACTTCCCACAGACTCCTGGGCAGAGTGAGAGAGAGGCTTCCTTTCTCTCTCCCTATCACAGACGTCTGCTCACTGGAGGGATGCCCATCACAACCCTAGCTGTTAATTACAACCCAAACTTTGAGCTTTGTCCTGTGTCTGGCTTGATTGCTCATTCCACCATCGTAAGCCCCATGCTTCTGACTATGCTTTCCATCCTTGTTTCTAGAAAGAGGCATTGCCCCTTGGTTCTCTGCTCCTGTATGCATTTGAAAATACAGTTCATCCATCATTTTTATATGTTGGTACTGTGAGTGGTTCTGTGAGGCCTGAAGTACCATAACACTGGGAGGTGAAGTTTAAACTGGTCTCATGTATGGAAAATTGAACTTGCCATTTCCCCACCCCCCATACACACAATTTGCTACTTTTCCTGCAAGCACTGTCTCTTCAGAACAGAATCACTGTTCATTTTCCCTCTCCACTGCTTCCTGAACCTCAGCAAGTCATATTCATGTGGCTTTCATCTGTGACTAGACTGTGATTTACAGTTGGTGTGCTGACCATGGGTGGGTTCCAGCCTTGACATGTGCACAGGTCAATGTAATTTAGTGAGACATGGAGAATCCACCCTCCATCCCAATAGGATGACCTGGTCAACAAAACCAACCAATTAATCAATTAAGAAAATGAGGTTGATACTTGATGGAACTTTCACTCATTAACACCACTGATGACCAGAAGAGGGAGCAAAACCTATGAACTGATACTGGGCTTGTGGCCCATTGCATTGAACTCCTCGAGGTGGGAAAGGATGGTGCAGATGAGAGACTGCCTTAGCCCAGGCAAAAGGGGCTCCTGCGCTGGGCTGTGTTTTAGAGCAGGAGTTGGCAAACTTCTTCTATTAAAAGCTACTCTGAAATGCTTTTTAAAATTTTGGGCCATGTGTGGTTTCTGCCACATACACCTTTTTTTAAGCAAACTTTGAAATATATAATTTATTCTTAGTTCATGGGCAGTTAAAGAAACAGCCACAGGTGGAATTTGGTAAAAGAACCATAGTTTGCTGATTCCTGCTTTATGAAACT